TTGCGACGGAAAAGCAATTTGTCTGTTGGAAAAGTTATTCGACGTATTTGAATTAAAAGATGCTAAATTAGGGTTAAAATTTTGTCTTTGAATTTGTGGTGAAACAGATGGTCTATTTTGTTGAATTCGTACATTATTTAAATTATTTTTATTGCCGAAATTTTGGTAATAATGAACATTGTCTTCTTTTAGAACATATTGCAAAGCTTCACTTAATGAAGTAGGTTTCATACATCTAATTGTAGTCCCTAAAGGTTCCCTTAAACCAGTTAAAAAGGTATTTAAAGCTAAATCGTTATATAAATCGCGTTTTAATGCTTTAGATGCAAGGATGTGTTCGTGAGCATCAACATAACTGCACAAAAGATTTAGGATGTTTAAAACTCTATCATAAAATTGTTGTGGTTTTTCAGTAGCTCCTTGTTTCATCATAACAAGATCCCTATTTAAACAAGATTCATCTCTCTGATCTGCAAAGTTTCTAGTTAATACTGATTTTAAATCGTTCCAAGTTGAAACATTTTGTATATTTACTACTAATTTGGCATTGCCACTTAATTTTGAAATTAAACAATTTAACAGATAAACATTTTGAAAACAATTTGGCTGAGCAATATTATAAAAATTATCAATCAAAGATGAGCATACGGATAAATATCTATTTAATTCATTCGGGTTACCGTCAAAGTTGGGTACACAAGTTAAGTATTCTGGTTTAAAATCAGGCATTATTATTTCTAAATTATTTTCGAGATTCGAGTCAGTTGAAGGGTCTAAATATAAATTAGAAAGAATATTTGACAAATCGTCAATTACGGACATGTGAAATGTACTTACAATAAAAATATAACTTTGAGCATCCCTCTATAGAAATAAATCCAGGTCAGCAATTTTTGTCGTTCCCAGAAAATATCTCTGCAGAATTGAACTATTTGGGTTTCAATTCTCTCTTCCGCTTTGGATCCACTATTCTTGTCGGGTCTGCGATAGACTGGGTTTCCTGAAGTTCAAGGAGCCACTCCGGAACAATGTCACAAACGAAAGTCACTTAAGTTCGATATACGGTAAATCGTAGAAACGAAAATCGATATGTTCGATACAAATCAATCCCGATATCCTACTGACTGCGCCAATTAACTCCTACTAACTCAAAGTTCGTTTTTTAAAAAAAATACTTTTATTACTTAATACAACAATTATACTTTTAATTACAACTTAACAATATGGAATCTAGCAACTGACTGACTACTCTAAAAGAAAATAAAAACGTCTAACAATAAAAAATGCAAAATAAGATAAAAATGAATATATCAGAACAAAGAGTTTTACAATGTCAGCATTCTTCCATAAGGGCCATGTATAGGAGTCGACATAATTCATGAATTAAATATAGTATCTAATCTAGAAAGTAAATATGGTGATTCAATCTAATAAAAATTTTAACAATAATTTATAGTTTCTTTAAAAATCTTTTATTTTCTCTAATTATTTCTGTTTTTTTATTTTTGCCATCAAAATAAATACCTATTATTTTTTATAACATCCAATTTCAGAATCATTTATTCCAATTTAACATTCGTAGTTGACATCAATGTCTTAAAGCTTATTAGATTGTCAAGAAAGCAGCTTCAAAGAATTGTTACTTGATGTTTATCATAAATAAATTAAAATTAAAACCCAAAAATAGTTCTAACGAACATAATTTTTTGTATTTTTGGCTTCTTCTAGGAGTAAAAAAATATTTCAGAAGCAAAAAATCATCTGGAATACTGTAAATATCCAAACAGAAAAAAGAATTTTACATAATGTGGAATCTCTTGAAGTTGCTAATCAAATTATATCCGGGAAAACTGATATTGCAGATACACTTGTGGATTACTTCTTATCCTGCACTAGCAGTGCTATTAATCATTTTACTAATTTGGTATTCAATGAGTATACCACCATGTACGTCCAAAATACTTTCCATTTTATCAGTGTTAGTGCTCATGATGTTGTTAAAGCCATTTCTTCATTAAAAAACACCAACTCTGTTGGTATTGACAGTATTTCCATGAAAGTTATAAAAACAATCTGTCCACATGCTCTGGCACATATAATAAACACATCAACTGCCTTGGGTAAATTTTCAGCAGATCTAAAAATGGGGTAGTAACACCAATATTCAAAATAGGAAAGCAAAAATTACTTGAAAATTATAGGCCAATTACTGTTCCAACTGTATTTTGTAAGGTTTTCAAGAAATGTGTATACAAACACATGTTGTCGTTTTTATTTAAATATAATATCATATCAGATCACCACCATGGTTTTCTTCCAGATAGGTCAACTGAGAGTGCCACTATGGACTTTTTCAATTACATATATGGTCAGTTGGATAAAAAGAGATTTATGGGGGTGTTCTTTTTTGACCTCTCCAAAGCTTTTGACTATATTGATCTGAATATAATTGAAAATAAATTATTTGCTTTGGGTTTCAAAGGGGATTTTCTAACGTGGCTATCTTCATATCTCAACATGAGGAAAATTTCTGTTAATATTGAAGACTACGGATCTACATTTAAAGATATTGATCGTGGTGTCCCTCAGGGGTCAATTCTAGGCCCACTAATTTTCTTGTTAAATATAAATGATCTTTCATCATAGATAAAAACAGATTATACTGTTATGTATGGGGATGATACCACATTGGCAGCTGATGCTGAATCTCCTGAGGAGCTTCTCTTAAAACTTAATAATTTAGCATATCAATTTACTGTATGGTACAAAAGAAATTCCTTAATATTAAATTCTAGCAAAACTGTTATGCAATTTTTTTCTAGAAATAGGATAACATAAGTGTAAAAGTTTTATCGGAGGACATTTCTTTCTCTCATGTAACTAAGTTCCTAGGAGTTATGATTGACAGCAATATGAATTGGGATTCAAATGTCAATTTTATCTGTAAAAAGTTAAACAGCGCTTACTATGCAATCCTACAGCTAAAAAATATTTTCAATGCTAATCAACTTCTTCAGGTATACTATGCTCTTGTTTATTCTTATCTCTCTTATAACGTTATCCTGTGGGGAAACTGTACAAATACTTTACTAGTTTTTATTAATCAAAAAAGAATTATTAGACTAATTTTCAATTTAGAAACAAGAACTACATGTAGGGATCATTTTAAAAAATATAATATTCTCACATTCCCAGCCATATACATTTTTAAAACCATTCTGTATGTTAAAAAAAATCATTCATCATTTTCTAAAAATCAAGATAATCATAATTACCCCACTCGAAACAATGAAGCAATTCGTATTCCAAAACATTCATTCTATTTGAACTCAGCCCACACTACCCTGGACTTACTTTTTTTAATCATTTTCCATCCTTGATTAAAACAACCATCCCCTATAATATTTTTAAAACAAAATTAAAAAACTATTTAATTGATAATTGTGTGTACAGTATAGATGAGTAGGTACCTACCTCAATAATGCTATGTTGTTTATACCTGATTTATTTTAGTTTTAGTTATAGTTTTATTTATATACCTGACATCCTATATCATGTACTATGATCTAAAAGGACAAATAAAGATTTATTATTATTATTATTATTATTATACAATATTTAGGGCCAGCAATGTGTAGGAAATGCTGGCAATGGTTCGGAAATGCTGGTAATAGTTGAGAAATGATTCGGAAATACCACAAATATTGCTGAATATGGCAATGGGAGTACAAATTTTCAACAGTTGTAAGCCCCTCAATTTTTTCTCGATGTCATTATACTTCCTCTCAATCGGATCTGTTCTGTGGCCTTTTAATGCAGAACAGGTAAGCTGAGTAAGACATGTTTACTTTGTATTAAATTCCAGAGCTTTTGGAGTAAATGTCTTTTTGTGATAAATTGCAAAAAAAAGAAAGGAAGTCACAGTTGATATTCAATTAAAAATGAGAATAAAAGCTGTTCTTATATAAATACATTAAAAAAAGATTAACAAATCTTTTATAAAGTATAGAATAGGTACCTATAGGTTGTTTATTTAAATAAAAAATGAACAACACAAAAATTAAACATAGCTGTTCTTTTATTCTATACAAGCACCGTTTGCTGTATGGTCTAAAATCTAGTAGCTCTGTTCCAGGGGTACTTTGTACTTTTCAAATGTAGCATATTTAAATAAAAGTTAAATATATTAGGTACTTACTATTTTGGCAGATAGGGCACGCGTATCTCCTCTTTTTCTTTACAATACCTTTAGCGGTATTTTCTAACGATTTGCTGCTACACTCATGTTCAAAATCGGATGAGCTTTCTATTTTCAAAGTCGGTAAATCACAATGCGAAGTCAGCAGTTCACTCAATTCACTCTCAGTTTTTGGTTGTATATATTCATCAACTTCTTGCTTGATATCACTGATATCTGTCTCTTTAACATCACTAGTGTTCTCAAGTTCTTGTTTAATAGTTTTAGGAAACATTCGCACGATTTCGGAAGTCTTATCTTCAGAATAACAATACCTGCTTTGCTCAGTTTCGCCGAAAACGTTAGTTGGTTCGGTTTTAATTGTAAATCCCTCAAGAATATCGAAGGGGTCTTGTTTCACATCCATTCTGCTAACAATTTAATACATTTAAATTACAGAATAAAAAGAAATCACAAAGCTATGCCAGAAACCACAAGGCGATAGAAACTTCCAGGCTTGCCCATGCCCCATGCCAGGGGCACAGTTTATAGCTAAAGAATTCTTTTAAACTGTCCCAGGAGGCTTGGTGGGGCTCGGGGGCTTGGTGGGGCTTGGGACTCGGGGGACGGGGCACAGTATAAAGATACTGTGGACGGGGGCTAAGCACAGAACACATCAAATTAATTATTATTATTATTATTATTATTAGTTCCAACGACCTGTCAAAATGCTGACAGTTTAGATATGACAACCCTGTAGGCCTGTTTTGTCATGATCTCAGGGTTGGGAAGAGTTCGCAGAGTTACAGTCGCCTTCAAATCAAAAAAGTTATCGATTTTGAATTTCGATTTTTTAAAAAATCGAGTAGTTGTCAAATTCCCAACCGAAATGTTTCGAGTGCTAACGAAATGTCATTTCACATCAATTTTTCCCGGTATTTTTCATCACTGTCCACAGGTGATTAATGTTGGGGTAGTTGATCCTTTCTGTTATAATTTTAAATTGTCTGATAAACAATTGATATTCAACATGCCTCCAAAGCGAAAAGCTCCAACAACAATAACAACAACAGAAAAGGCGGATTCTACAACTGATATCGGTAAATTATAAAAATAAATAAGTATCCTAAAAATGCAGAATATTTTACATTCATTGAACAAATAAATTTTTTTCTTAAGCGTTTTATTAAACAGTTCTAGAAAAATATAATTAATTTATAATTAGAATTAGTTTTATAATAATAATAATTTATAAACTCGCAAAATTTCTTCTGCATTTATTTAACAATTTTTTATCATGTAGTGAAAACCAATAAAAGAGGTAAGAAGGCAGAATTGGAAACAAATGGTATTCAAAATGAAGATGAGCAAGTAAGTTCACCGCCGAAAAGATCGAGGCCTGTTAGGAGCACTAAAAGTAAGTCCTATGTTAAAGATTCACTTTTTATAGGTAATTTAAAAATCAACCTGTATAGAGTTACTTCCCAACTGTCATAACAATATCAGAAAAAAAATTATTCCCCCTTATTCCCTACCTTTCAAAACCATTTAATAGCTTTTTATGAAACCAGTTAGGAAGTGCCTTATTTCATGTAATTAGTGAATATTTGCAGGACGAGCAGAGTGAGATCCTGCAACATGAACGAGTTACATAAAATGGCATTTCATAAAGTGTTACATACAATATTTGGTAATGTTGTAGTTGACGGGTCTAGAAATGACTTGCGTATCGGCGACAACACTAATCATTTGTAATTGCTGTGATGGGAGGTGTTTGTGTGAATTCGTCTTGTTTGTTTTCATTTACACCGTGATTAGCAGTAGTATTTTATAAACCTTAGATGCAAATTTAACTTACATGAACAAATAATAATAATGCCATGACAACAAGAAGACGAAGCAACGACTTCACGTAGGGTGGCGGCTTCGCCGCCACTAGAAAATTTTAAACCATACCTGGCTACGCCGACCGGCATAAACACCAACGGCCTGGACACAGCTCACCTACTCTGTCAAAAAGAGACGGATATACAAATAAAACGCATACGACATGCGCACTACAAATGATTAGTGTTGTCCCCGATACGCGAGTTTTCCAGGCCCTTCAACTACAACATTACCCAATATTTTTTCAAATTTTGACTAGATTATTAAATTGTGTTTTGATAAGTAATCACTGACATCTAGGCAACCAATATTACTACTTTCCTGAAGTGTTACTTTATTTTATTGACAAATAGAACATAATATTAATTTTGAAAGAGTAAAACAAAATTTGGTAGATTTTCACTTTTATTTTAAAAATATAAAAATTTTTATTTTTATTTATTTATTATTTTTATAATTAAATGGATTTTCATCAAGTAAAGGCCGAAACAATAAATAAAATAATATTAATTATTTATTCTCAATGACCGGTAGTGTGATTATACAGAGTGGAACAGCCAAATGGAATAAATTCAGTAAGTAATAAATAAATGGGTGCATGTTCGGAAAAACTCTTGGACACGTCTATTGGTACTTTTTAACAAAAACTTTTTATACAGGGTGTATCATGTAACAGTGGCCAATACCAATTTTCTTATTTTTAATGCAATATCCTGTAATTTTTTTAATTTTTCGATTCTTCAGAAAATTCTAGACATTTTATGTGCTATGTCCTATACCTAACTGTTTCAGAAATAATAAATGTTTTCCGATTTAACTACAAAAATTAACAGTAAAATAATTTGATTACAGAAATCGTTACAACACAGTCAAAAACTAATGAGTAATACTGTTTATTTCTTGATAATATAACAAAAAAAAGACATCTCAATGTAGATGATCAAAATGCTCGCCACGAACTTCTTGGCAACATCCTAATCTGAAATAAAAATATCTTCTAACGTTACTCAACATCTCGGGCATGACCGATCTAATCGCAAGCGTCATTCATCTTCTTAAGTCATCTAGGTCAAGAGGTTTAGTTTTGTATACAATACTTTTGACATATCCCCATAAGAAAAAGTTTAATGATGTCAGATCAGGGGATCGTGTTGGCCATTCCATCGATCCTCGCCTTCCTATCCACCGATTTGGAAATACTTGATTGATGTACTGCTGGACATTGATTTGGCAATGAGACAGTTCTCTATCTTGCTGAAATCATATATTCGCTGGAACTTGTGGGTTTGCTGGATCGGGATATAAGTTTATTAAAGGTGGCTAGACATTCTTTTGGAGCAGTGCTAAGTAATTATCGCCATTCAAATTGCCATCAATGAAAAGGGACCTATGTTATGATCGCCAACAATTCCTGCCCAAAAATTAACCTTTTCAGGGTATTGCTTATGTTCTTCTTTCATCCAGTGAGGATTTTCCCTAGACCAATAGTGGCAATTTTGAAGATTAGCATGACCGTGAAGTACACTCCTCAGAAAACAAAACATGTTCTAATTCTAAAATCGTTTTCTATGGGCTCCTGATTGCTGTTATTTTATAGGGATACATTTTATTTTTTTAATGTTCGAATAATCAATGAATGGCTAATATCGAACATTGGGGCTGCTTGTCGACTAGAAGTATGTGGGTTTTCCTGAAACTCAAGTATAATATCCAATTTGGTATCATTAGTTATTGCGTTGCACCTGTTTTTTTTATGTCTTACATGTCCAAGCTTGCGAAACTATTGTCCCTTGGGATAAAGGTGGCAAATTTGGAAATTTTTCATGAAATAAGCGAGCAACCCATTTGTGTCCGTGTGTTATCTCCATAATCATAACCAATCATCTGTAGAATTGTTGTTTTGTGCATTTCTGTTAAATGAATAGGGTTGCCACCTTTTCATTTCTCAAAACCCGGACCTTAGTGAAATTTCTAAAAAAAAAGGTCCTCAGCTTATAATTTTATAAACCAGGTCCTTCTGTCAAGCTTCTAAAAAAGTTATCCAGATATTCCCGGACATTTCATCATGTGACTGGACACCGGACAAATTGTTCAAAACCCGGACAGTTCGGTTGAAACCCATACAGGTGGCATCTCTATAAATGAACCATTTTTCTGATATGCAGTTAAGGAAATTAAAATAGCTAGAGTAACTGCCATCTTTAAAAAAGGTGATAAAAAAGCAGCTGAAAACTACAGACCCATCTCTGTGATACCAGTTCTTTCCAAATTTATTGAAAAAACGTTAAAAGCCAGATTACTTAATTATCTTGAAACACATAATCTTCTAAATGCACAACAATTTGGTTTTAGACTGGGAAGATCTACAGTTTCAGCTTTGGTAGATTTAGTTTCACATAAACTACTTTTATTGAAGCTGGAAATGTATGGTATAAGAGGAACTCCTTTAAAACTTTTAAGTAGCTACTTGTCGGAACGTTGTCAGTATGTCCAAGTAAATGGTGATAAGTCAAAAGTAAGGAGTATAGAACATGGAGTCCCACAGGACTCAGTTCTGGGTCCGCTATTTTTTATAATCTTCATTAACGATATTTTCGAGTATATCAAGAAAAAAGAAGTTATTTATGCTGATGACGTTACCGTCCTGGACATCGCCAGTTCTTTAAATGATCTATACTGCTCGCATAATGAAACCATTTTGGAATATTTTAATTATTTTAAGATGGTAAATTTAAAACTAAATGAGGATAAAACTCAAAATTTAATATTTACTTTAAATCCATTAGAAAACAATGAGAGATGTTCAATTAAATATTTGGGTATTCAGGTTGACAATAGTTTTTCTTGGGAACCACATATAAATAATCTTCTAACTCGGTTATCTAGTTATTCATATTTATTAGGAAATCTTGCATATCAAGTAAGGTCTTACTTATGGCTTATCATGGTTTATTTCACAGCATTATGACATACTGTATACTTGTTTGGGGAGGCTCATGTCATCTAGGTAAAATATTGATTGCACAAAAGAAAGCTATTCGAATAATAACTAAAGCTAATTTCAGGGACAGTTGTCGTCCACTTTTCAAAAAATTAGGAATTCTGACATGTGTAAATCAATATATCTATGAATGTTTAATTTATGCAAAGAGGAATATTATTAACTTATGCAACGCCTATAAAACAAGAAATATGCAAGTAAGATTGCCATTTTTTCGACTAACAAGGAATCACAATTCTTTTCAATTTTTACATGTTAAGTTGTTTAATCTACTTCCCCTTGAGTGGCGCCTGCTTAACGAGATAAAATTTTCCAAAAAAATAAAAACTTTTCTGAAGGAGAATGTTTTCTATGATATCCATGAATTTTATCGACATTTTGAATTGACTTATATAATTTTTTAATTTGTTCTTCAGTCTATATGTATTGTAGTTATAGTCTTCAATTTATTGTAAATGTTTCTGTTTTTATACTATTAGTGACATAAGTATTAATTGTAATTGAAATTGACGAATGTATACAAAAAATTTTTTGTCTTAACATAATAACAAGTAACAGTAAAAAAACGACTGTAACACTGACAACTACTGTCATGCAGTCAGATAACAATTTGCTAAGGTCTGGCGTTTTAAACAAAAGTAAACAAAACTATTTAAGTAGAGCTCTTTTTTTATTTCATATCAGTAAAAAGGAACACTGAAATGATTTTTGCTTACTTTCTCATTATCAAGACCAAAATGGGAAATAGACATGGGTAACGCAGCGCTGCGTTGCGTTACGAGTGTTGATACACCATCTGTTACTGTATCAACGCAGCATATTTACACATCCTCCTATATGACGGCACCGGAGTGCTGAAACCTGTTCGCCTTTGTAGCCTACAAGTACGCTACAAAAGCTCATTGATTTAGACACCCATACAAATTTTATGATATGTGAGACTTTACTTTTCAATTTTAGCTGTGTCCAGGCCGTTGGCGTCTATACCGGTAGGCGTGGCCAGGGATGGATTAAAATTTTTTGGTGGCGGCGAAGCCACCACCCTACGAGAAGTTTTTGCTTCGTTTTCTTCTTGTATATTTTCTTTGTTTTTAATCTCAAAACACTTCAAATGCGTCATTTGAATGACATCATGTCTATTAACGGCATCTTAGTACACGACCGTTTAACGGCAGTTTAAGTACAGCCATTGTTTCATAGAATGCAGATAAGCTTGCTTACTGATTCCAGCAATAAGAGAGGCCTCATGCATTGGTGCCTAAATCAATTAGCTTTTGTAGCGTACTTGTAGGTTACAAAGGCGAACAGATTTCAGCACTCTGGTGCCGTCATATGTGTAAATATGTATCAACGCAAAGCAGTTTTCGATACGGAGTCTAGAGGGTCGAGAATCAATGCGCCAGGCTATGATTCCGTGTTAATTTACTACGTTTATGTAACTCGTAATGCAGATACCCAAAATCGTATCAAGTAATTAATAAGTATGTTCTTTGCAACATGTCAGATCATTTGGGAGTCGATTTTTTTTA